CACACACACACACACACACACATACACACACACATACACACATACACACACATACACACACACATACACACACACACACGCACACATGCGCGCGCGAGTGCATGCCCGCACGCACAAACATGCACAGTCATTTTTTTGTGATCCTGGTATTTTTCTTATTGTTCTTTTGAAAAATGTAGATCTTTAGCGGGGTCAGGTATTCCGACACTTAGCCGTGTCATAATTACATGGTACACTTTGTCATAATTACGTGATACAGTTTGTCATAATTACGTGATACAGTTTGTCATAATTATGTGGTACAGTTTGTCATAATTATGTGGTACACTTTGTCATAATTATGTGGTACACTTTGTCATAATTATGTGGTACACTTTGTCATAATTATGAGGTACAGTTTGTCATAATTATGTAGTACACTTTGTCCTAATTATGTGGTACAGTTTGTCATAATTATGTGGTACAGTTTGTCATAGTTATATGTGGTATACTTTATCATAATTTTGTGGTACAGTTTGCCATAATTATGTGGTACAGTCTGTGTCATAACTATGTGGTAGAGTTTGTCATAATTATGCGGTACAGTTTGTCATAAATTTATTATTTGGTACATTTTGGGTCCTAATTATGTGGTACAGTTTGTCCTAATTATGTGGTACAATTTGGGTCATAATTATGTGGTACAGTTTGTCATAATTATGTGGTACAGTTTGTGTCATAATTATGCGGTACAGTTTGTGTGATTACCGTGTGTTTTACAGTTTGTTAGCAGTTCCAGCAAATTCTGTGTGTGCACACTGTGCTGTTCTGCTCGGTTCCCGTTCTCTATTCTAACAGTGTGATGACTGTGTAAATACTGTTGTTATTGGCTCACATTTGGTGGATAGGACTTTGTTTGGAGAGAAAGGACTGAGGATCTTCTCTGATGGCGATCTTAATCACGATCGGAACAATTATTGTATGCTTCCAGGAACATTGATTATAATGACGATGATGGTGATGATGATGATGATGGTGATGATGATGATGAGGAGGAGGAGGAGGAGGATGATGATGATGATGATGATGATGATGAT